GGTCCCATTCCCAACCCCAGCTGCCAGAACAGCCCCCGACACTCCCTATCACGTGGCGGCCTCCGCCACAAAATCAGCCTCCCCCCCAGCTATGTGGTAGCCCTGGACACCAGAGCAGGCCTCCCCTTCCCATCATGCAGCCATAGCAGGTCCTTGCCCCCCGCCCCAGCATCTCCCTCAGCACGCTGTCCCAGGTGACCCTACCTACCAGATTAGCCACCTGCCACACGATTGCTGCTGCACAACTCTCCAGAGGAGGTGGGCAGGGGAAGAATTTGTTGTACATTTCCCACACCATGATGTGTATGTATTATCTGATGCAAGGAACACGATAAAATAGGGGACTAGCATTAGTAGGGTCAGCAGTTCTGAGTTAATTGCTCTGAGTAATCAAAATGGGGAATCAAAATGAGTGAAGAATGACCAATATGCATCACCCAGGAGAATAGTCCATAGTTGCGCATTTAATCTCTCCTATTAACATTGTCTCCCTATCCAGGTATTTGTGTTCTGACCATTACCCTAGATTCTGAGCACGTAAAGGAGTCAGGGGTACTTGCGGTAACTGCAGGAGACGCCGTTCTGCCTCACAGTTGGCTATCTTCTCCCATACTCCATGTCAGATTCCAACACCACTAACTTCACCAACCCCTCCACCTTTATCCTGCTGGGCATCCCTGGTCTGGAGATGGCCCATGTCTGGATCTCCATCCCCTTCTGCTGCATTTATGCTGTAGCCCTCCTGGGGAACTTCACCATCCTGTTCATCGTGAAGATGGAGCCGAGCCTCCATGAGCCCATGTACTATTTCCTCTGCATGCTGGCTGTCACCGACCTGGTCCTGTCCACGTCCACCCTGCCCAAAATGCTGAGCATCTTCTGGTTCAATGCCAGGGAAATCGAATTCAATGCCTGCCTCACCCAGTTGTACTTCCTTCATTGCTTCTTAGTGATGGAGTCCGGGATCTTCGTGGCCATGGCGTTGGATCGCTACGTGGCCATCTGCCATCCCCTGAGACATTCCACCATCCTGACAAACAGAGTCATTGCCAAGATCAGCCTGGCCGTGTTGCTGCGCAGTGGCATCCTCGTCCTGCCCTATGTCCTCTTGGCAAAGCAGTGGCCATATTGTAGAACCAACATCATCCCCCACACATATTGTGAGCACATGGCCGTGGTGAAGCTGTCCTGTGCCGACACCCGCTCCAGTAGTTACTATGGCCTCTTTGTAGTATTCTGTGTATTCTGTCTGGATGTGTTCTTTATTGCTGTGTCCTACACGGAGATCCTCAGGGCCATCTTCAGCCTCCCCACAAAGGATGCCCAGCTCAAGACTTTTGGGACTTGCATATCCCACCTCTGTGCCATCTTATCGTTTTACGTGCCAGGTTTCTTCTCCTCCCTCACATACCGGTTTGGCCGCAATGTGCCCCTGCATTTCCACATTCTCACAGCCAATATGTACCTCCTGGTGCCCCCCATGCTGAACCCCATCATCTACGGGGTGAGGACCAAACAGATCCGTAGCAGGGTTCTAGGGTTCTTTGCCCATAAAGGGATGAAAGATTTCTCCTAATGTCTGGTTTTCAGACCAAGGTCTGTGCCATGCTGGTTATTTACAAGCATACACGATACCCTCTCTGGAACTACAGGGCACCCATTACCCAGCATTAATCAGTGAGGCTGAGTCTAACACTTAAGGGAGGGGGAGTGCTCAACCTCAGGTCTTGCAGGACCACTGTAGTTGCCTCAAACCATCCAATGGGCAGGATAGCTGTGGCAGATGCTGGCCCTTTGCCCTACCCAGTATAGCATTGGGATCATGTGACCCTTCGTGCACCCCAAAGTGTTGGTCCTGAATACAAATGCTGGAAGTCTAAATAAGATAAGACGGGGGAACTCGTGAAGTCATTCTGCCGCTCTACTCTGCACTAGTTAGGCCTCAGCTGGAGTACTGTGTCCAGTTCTGGGCGCCCCATTTCAAGAAAGATGTGGAGAAATTGGAAAGGGTACAGAGAAGAGCGACAAGAATGATTAAAGGTTTAGAGAACATGACCTATGAAGCCAGGCTTCATGAACTGGGCTTGTTTAGTTTGGAAAAAAGAAGATTAAGGGGGGACATGATAGCGGTTTTCAAATATCTAAAAGGGTGTCACAAGGAGGAAGGAGAAAATGTGTGCCTCTTGGCTTTTGAGGACAGGACAAGGAGTAATGGGCTTAAAGTGCAGCAGGGGAGGTTTAGATTGGACATTAGGAAAAAATTCCTAACTGTCAGGGTGGTCAAATATTGGAATAAATTGCCAAGGGAGGTGGTGGAATCTCCCTCTCTGGAGATATTTAAGAACAGGTTAGCTAGACATCTGTCAGGGATGGTGCAGACGGAGCTTGGTCCTGCCTTGAGGGCGGGAGGATGGACTCGATGACCTCTTGAGGTCCCTTCCAGTCCTATGATTCTATGATTCTATGAACTGCAGTGCCTCTTACTGAATGCGGTTGTTGATGTGATGGGCATCATAGAAACATGGAGGAAGGAGGATAGTCAATAGGAGCCAGTAATACCAGAGTACACAATCTAACAGAGAGAGAGAAGAGGTCACACTGGTGGTGTCCCTAGATGTTGAAGAAAGAACAGAATCATATGACTCCTGAGAGAATTCTGCACCGAAAAAGTTAATTACTCCAAGCAAAATATTTCAAAAATTGGCAAAATTCTTTGAGTCTTGTTGGGTGTATTCCATGTGCTGGGGGAATTGGACTCGGTGTAGGGCTTCCAGTTCTTCTGATCCCAAAGGAATAGCCCCAGTCCCAGGACAATGTATGCCTCAGATCTTACCCATAAGAGCATGCTGTGCCAATCCTTTAGAATCTAAAAGCTAAGGCTATGTCTAGACTGCAAGTCTGTTTCGAAAGAGGCTTTTTCGAAAGATACTTTAAAAAAAGCCACTTTTGAAAACGAGCGTCTACACTACAACCAGTACTTTCGAAAAAGCAAGCTGCTTTTTCCAAAGAAAGCACTCAGGCAGTCTGGATGCTCTCTTTCAAAAAAGCACAGTTTGCATGACATAGAGCCTTTTTTCGAAAAAGCATTTTCAAATAAAGGCATTCTTCCTCATAAAACGAGGTTTTCCGCGGTCAAAAAAATTGCTGCATTCTTTCGATTTACTTTCAAAAGAACGCAGCAGCAGTCTAGATGCAGGGAAAGTTTTTTTTCGAAAAAAGGCCACTTTAAAAAAAAAAGAAAGAAAGAAAGAAAGAAAGAAAGAAAGAAAGAAAGAAAGAAAGAAAGAAAGAAAGAAAGAAAGAAAGAAAGAAAGAAAGAAAGAAAGAAAGAAAGAAAGAAAGAAAGAAAGAAAGAAAGAAAGAAAGAAAGAAAGAAAGAAAGAAAGAAAGAAAGAAAGAAAGAAAGAAAGAAAGAAAGAAAGAAAGAAAGAAAGAAAGAAAGAAAGAAAGAAAGAAAGAAAGAAAGAAAGAAAGAAAGAAAGAAAGAAAGAAAGAAAGAAAGAAAGAAAGAAAGAAAGAAAGAAAGAAAGAAAGAAAGAAAGAAAGAAAGAAAGAAAGAAAGAAAGAAAGAAAGAAAGAAAGAAAGAAAGAAAGAAAGAAAGAAAGAAAGAAAGAAAGAAAGAAAGAAAGAAAGAAAGAAAGAAAGAAAGAAAGAAAGAAAGAAAGAAAGAAAGAAAGAAAGAAAGAAAGAAAGAAAGAAAGAAAGAAAGAAAGAAAGAAAGAAAGAAAGAAAGAAAGGTTACATCTAGATGACAAAGAAAAGTCAGAAAAAACACAGATTGCAATTTGCGTATCTTTTTCTGATTTTCTTACAAAAGAGGCTTTTCCAAAATGTGGTGCATCTACACTCACCAGATTTCAGAAAAACCTGCTCTTTTGAGCCATCCGTTCTTCCTTGTAAAACGAGGTTTACAGGGATGGCGAAAGAACGGGTCTGATTTTCTGTTTTTTTTTTCAGAAAAGCAGATGCGTTCCTTGGACGCAGCATTGTTTTTCCAGGATACCTCCCAGAAAAACATTTTAGTCTAGATGTAGCAAAGGAAGGAAGGAAGGAAGGAAGGAAGGAAGGAAGGAAGGAAGGAAGGAAGGAAGGAAGGAAAAGGTTGAGAGTAAAGTTGCTAAAGGAATCAAGTTACAATTTTCTTGGTGCAGACTTGTAGCCAAGATGGATAAATCTGTCTTAGAAGTCCCTGGAGTACATCCTCTGTAATGTTGGTCCATCGGTCCTTTTGGGCTCAGTTCCCAGCAAAGATGTTTCAGAAGTGATGAGCTGGAATGAAGACAAGAATGGAGACCAGGATGGAGGAATCCCCTGGATCCTCTATGTCCTTGCTCAAATGGAGAGCATTATTTTGTGAAAGTCAACCCCAGATGGAGTTTGTCACATGAGCAAGTCACCTGTCCATGCACGTGTTCGTAGCAGCCATTGCTCTCATGAGGGTCTGGACATTCACAACAGTTCCTCAGATGTGGATTGGCACCTATTAAGGCCTATTGTTAGCCAAGTGCTGCTATTCAGTTGACTAGCCACCCTTTCATTAGCGTTCACACTACTCAAGAGAGATTTGGAGTCAGTGTGGACAGTTGTCTGAGAAGATCTGCTCAGTGCACAGCAGCAGTCAAAAACAAGCAATCAGAATGGTGGGAATCACTAAAACGTAGAAAGGATTTTTGATCGGCCCTTTCCCGGCACCAAAAGAAAGGGGAAGTGTCAATGAGAAACCAGGCTCCAGAGACTGAACCCAGAGGAAATGGAGAGTGGCCCTATCTCCTGGCCCACTTGATCGATAGGGCAGGCAGACCAATGAGGGAGTCAGGAATCCAGGAATCGTACTCTCCACATGAGCTGGGAATGTCTGAGCCAGAACAGGGCAGAGTTAAGGGGAGAGCAGGGGCCTGGGTTGAGCTGGGAGCAGAGCTGTGCCAGCCAGAGGCAGGGAGCCAGGCTGGGGAGTTGGAGGCAGGGCTGAATTTGAGGCTACAGATGGGGCTGTGGCTTGAGCAGTGTGAGGCAGTGGTCATATTGCAGAACCAACATCATTCCCCACTCGAATTACGAGCACATGGCTCGGGTGAAGCTGGCCTCTGCCGACATCCACATCAGTAATTATTACAGTCTCTCCGTCACATTGTGCTTTGCTAGCCTGGATTTATTTTGTAGTCTCTCCCAATTTTGAAATAAGCTATGAAATTGACATAGCTCAATTTGCCTAGCTTATTTTGAGTTAAGCTCCGGTGTGTAGACGCTCCCATAGGAATTATTTTTTTCTCCTAGTGCTCTGGCTCTCTCTCTAAGCAGAGGTGTCCAGGGACACGATACTAGCCCCTCTGCCCTGAATCACTGGACAGTCAAAGAGACATTAAATTGTTTCCTGACCTTACTGTATCAGCACGACAAAGTGAATAGTTAGTCTAGGCACAACTCATTCACTGATAGGGTTGCCACCTTGCTAAATAGGAGAAGTTTCTTAAAGTACATCCACAAAAAGAGGTTTCCACACAGCTCAGTCTTCAGACTTGTCTTGCTTGTTTACCACACACTGCCAGGCAGGGTCCACGCACTGCCTGTAACTCTGTGCCATCATAGAGGCCATGAATATGCTTCCAGGAGCCTAATCGATAGAGTTTGACTCGACATCCCTGATTAGGAATTGAAGATTGCCCACTACAAATCACACACACACACACACACACACACACACACACACACACACACACACACACACACACACACAAAGGCTGCTGAACGTAGATCTGTCTGTCTCCCTCTCTTTCTCTTAGCTGTGGGAGTTGCCCAGATATGAGGTCTCCAGAAACAATGACATGAGAGGAAACCAACTCCTGGGTGGGTGCTGACCAAAAATAACCAGGCATTGTCCAGCCAGAGAACTACAATTCAAGGACTCACATGTGTGAGGACACACCTGGGAAACTACACAACCTTGCTTAGGAGCTCAGCTCTGCCCACCAGACATACCTGGACCTTGGCTCCCCAACTCCATGAGATGGAGGCTATAACACAGAACATATGCTGGGCCTTTTCCTGCACCCACCTCTGCTGCCAACCACAAAGATACTGAAAAGAAGACTGAAAAACCCAATGGAGGAGACCAGCCTCTGTTTAAGGGAGGATCCTGTATATGAAGGACTATAATGGGGTGAGGAAAAAATTGCTTAATCTAGTTGTCACTCCATATAATGTGCTTGAGAGTTTAGACTACGAGTTTATATTTTCATTTCCTTTGCTGATGAACTGTGAGTCTTTTGCCCATCACTTAGGATCACGTAAAAGCCGTAACCTGGAGTCAGTCCATGTGTGTCACTGTTTATCTCTCCCAGGGAGCTTTTCCTGGCGCCTCGCTAAAGCTGCTTGCTCGGGATCGCTGTGTACCCACGCGTCACTGTTGAGGTGGTGACGCAATAGTGAATGAGACGGCATATTCCTGAGGGACAGGGCTGGGCGCTGGGGGAGCTGGTCACGTGTGTGACTCATGAGTAGGGCTGGAGCACTCTAATTGGGTGTGGGGCTCACAGGCATTGTTCGGAGCGATCTGGAGAGGTTGGCTTCAGCTCCCT